TGTTTAAACTATCCAAGGAGACAACTACCCCAAAAGCTTAGTGCATTTAAAAACTAGAATATAGCTCTAGAGTGTATGACAATGTACAGTGGTTGATGAGTTAGTTCTAGAGGCTTCTGAATTTTAATGATGTTGGAGATGATATTGTGTGTCCTTCAGCTTGTTAGAGTGACACTAGCACTCCATAAATCATAATACCTGTGTATTGTAAAATCAATACAAAAGTGCTATCTCAGCGCTAAAGCTTAATAAGTTTTTCAGTGCTCTAACAGCTTAAACTTTGCTGTAATACCATTGGACCTGTAGGTTAGGATCAGAGCATGCTTAATTTGCTTTGTAATAGAGACTTTTCTTTAATGAAGGACCGATTAGTAAAGCTTTGGTTGCCACTCTGGTGATCAGTTGGCAGAACAGCCTCTGCAATTAAACTCATGTATCTCTGTCCTGAAGCAAAAAAGCCAGCTTAAACAGTCAATAAATGTTAATCCAGTCAGAACCTGTCTGTGCCTTTGAAGACTGCCCATGAGGGGTTTTTCAAATCACATTTTTTCATCTTGTTTTAAATGTGGTGGTCCCCATAGAGTCAGTACATAGTGTACAAGGCCTCCCACTGTTCTGTAATAAGATCTGGCATGCTAACAACAATCTATACAGATCTGTCGTCTATAGGGCTGTTTGTCCCTCCCCTTTGCTGCCTGTCCATCTATTTACTAATGAGCAATTATAAAATTTCTGTTTTCACACAGGTATGAGGGGGGGAGAGTATTTGAAATATTTATACAAAATATGCTGGTGTCTATGTACAGGTTTTTTTCAGGACAGCATTTTCCTATCTACCAATGGCCCATATGACACACCGGAAAGCTTTTTAAATGATTATTTATTGTTAGTGCAATGAATGTCTCATATGGTATTTCTCAATGATGACGCATACATTTAAAAGCAAAGGATGCCTAGTACAAAGCACAGACAGTGAAGAGTGGAGCTTTCATGTAACTTTCCATAAAACAGGCAAACGAAAAAGCTGAATGCTCACTGGGCAGTTGCTGTCCTCTCTATGGTGTGCCTCATCTCAGACATTTCCAGGTATTTATGTGATTCTGTCTTTCATTCTCATCTACTTGCCTTTCCTTCATATGAAGTGCATGAAAAGCAGGGCAAGGCTGACAACTAAAGGTAAGGTTAGGATTAGCTTAAAGTTGGCCTGTAGACTAGGGGAGGGGGTAACGGGAAGAGGCAATTCCAAATATTTAAATACTTTCTGGTTGGCACAAGGCAACCTTTATAATATGCATTTGATTAAAATTATCTACCTATATTTATATACATGTAACTACATGTATAGTGAGACAAAAAGTGTTAACATTCACAGGAGGGTGTATTACAATTAGCTTAACCATAAGTAGCATCAGATTTATATTACTTTGTATAATTTAGCTTGTGCTCATCACCAGAGGAGTGAAAACTAGGAATCAGAAAAAGGAGAGTTTTATGAGCCAGTGTATCTAGTTTATATATATAAAATAGATTTGTTCAAAGACAATGGGCCAATTTCACCGCTGGTCTAAGGAGCTGACTTTCCCCTGACTTCAGTGGAGTTGCTCCTTCTTCCACCAGTGGTGAGTTGGGTATGTTCAAAATATATTAATTGATGGGGTGATGCATAAAAACTTTCTGGGCAATGTAATATGGCATAGTACAATGATGGAAAATTTCAAAAAAGGCAACCAGATATGCTGATTCCTGTGATGCTGCTTGTTATGGTATTTCCTCCTGGCTCTGAGGAGATTCCATGTCACCAATATATGTTTTATTTTAAGAAGTGCCCTAGAAGTATTATAACAGAGGAACATTCCAAGTGGCAAAGATAGCAATTCAACATTATTATTAATATTAGAAGTATGAATATATATATATATATATATATCCTAAATATGGCCAGTTTAAAGTCGTTAGACTCTAGTGAGCAATAGCAACACAATTTGTTTTTTAAATCAGCCACTCAGTCTTCCCAGTTTTTTTTAAGCCACCCATACTCATGTGACACACCCAAAAGACAGAGCCCAACTATAGAATTGACATTTATGGTAAGTTACATGGTTGAAGGCTGGAATAAGTCAACATAGTCGGGTTAGGTTGGGGCAGTGTGAAGACTATGATGGTCTGACTTGCACAAACTCAATAATGGTTTGAATCTGGGGCATGGGTAGAGAAACCTTCCTGTTGGTTATGCTATGACCCTGCCCTTCTCAGCATGTAATTTACACCAATTTGCAGTAGTCACTTGCACTGATTTATATCTTATGTTACCTCTGACTCTGGCTAATGTGTGATCTATCTCTGCTGTTCTTGAGTAAACAATGTCAAGTATCAGGGGGTAGCCGTGTTAGTCTGTATCTACAAAAACACCAGACTCCTTGTTGTTCGAGTAAACAATGATCATTCTGGCCTAAATTTTGCCTTCTTCACAGCCATGTAACCCCAGTGAAGTCACTCCAGGCAGAATTTGGCCCATTCTCAACCAAGCTGTGTGAGTTCTTGCTGAAATCATTGAGGATACTGCTGTGCAATCACAGAAGTAAAGGGCAGACAGCTATGCTGGGGCTTGAGCTGTTTAAAATATAGCATAAGGTTAGGGGAGAGGGAAAGGAATCAGTGTCTACCAAATGAAGTAGTACAGAAACGGAGATATGCCAACTGGATGAGAAATGTCTTCTATGGCAAACTATCAGCCCTGAGTTACGAATCCAAATATTCTCAGTAATAATCAGAAAAATCCATGTTGCACATCAATAGGGTGACCAGATAGCAAGGGTAAAAAATCGGGACAGGGAGTGGGGGGTAATAGATATCTATATAAGAAAAAGCCCCAAATATTGGGACTGTCCCTATAAAATTGGGACATCTGGTCACCCTACACATCAACAGCGTACAGACCCCACCTTATCTTTGGTGTCTTTCGGAAGTGGTCTGTCATCCCCTTCTCTTATAGTTCTTCTTACACACTGTATTCCTTAATCCCTGCCACCGCTGCACAGAGGCCCATTGTAGAGGGTTCCTCCAATTCAAGCAAAGGCCTTCATGCTACCTTCATTGCTCTTGCTTTAACAGCAATTCTGAAAAGCCTTCCGCTCCCCTGCTCAGCTATTCCCACTGATTGTCTGGGATTGACCAACATCCCAAGCTTCTGTGCAGCTGCTAATATCTTAAGAAAACCAAGTGATGCTCTTAGCTACCTCTCTGAGGCTCACCAACACCTAGCACCCCTATAGCTATCTGGCACCCTCTGAAGAGGGTGTAAGAAGGTATGGGAGGAAGTGAAAGCTACTGGCATCTGCAACAAAAGGCACTAGCATCTAAAAGGGGGTGGGACCAACAGTCTCATCGCACTGCACTGGCCAGCAGAGTTGACTGGGCACACAGAGGAGTGGGTGCAATAGCATTGTTCTCCCACACTCCCCAACACCCCACGGGTCTTCAGGCCTAACCCCCTCAGAGCTCGTTCAGAGGCCTGAACCTCTGCATTGCCCCCAGTGCAGGGCTGTGGTGATATGCCCTTACTGTAAAAAACCTGCATCTTCTTGTCTATTGTTGGCTTTAGTCAGATGCTAACACTCGAAGCTGGCGGTAATCAGTGCACTCACAAGACAGCAAAGAAGCAGAGTTTCAGTTTCAGCAAGTCACCACTACTTTGCAGAAAGAGGAAAGTGAGATTTCAAATAAATCTGCTTTCTTTTTTCTTTGTTTTCCCCAAACCCATTGTTCAGGTCATTGATCAGGCTAGTGTATCATTAAGATGGAGAGTGGAAAACATGGAAAGCTAACATTTGAATGCATTCTTCTTTATCTTTCTGCTTAAGAGACCTGGGGATATTGTTGATAAATTACTCTTACAGCTGTTTAGGATTTATCTCAGGTAAGTATTAATAACGGAGTCCATTCCTCTAGTATTAAATGATTTCTTATTGAGTCCAGCTATTTAATACTCCTAATTTAACCTGACCCCTTCCCAATGGTGAAAATGGGGTACTTTCCCAAAGGCTGAAGAACTGCACAAAATTACTTTTCTTACAACTTTTAATTTTCTTCTGGATCAAGATTAGGTCCTTAGAGAGGTGGGCTGGTTCCATGTTTCAGGTATGAGCCTGGGACTCAGCAGTGCCGAGTTCAATCTTTGCTCCACCGCAGGTTTCCTTTGTGACCTTGGGCATGTTATAGAGTTTCTCTGGACCTCAGTTTTGCCTGTATAAAATGGGGCCAGTAGCACTGCCTTCCCTCACAAGTATTCTGAGGATCAGTATATTGTCAGGTGCTCAGATACAATGGAAAGGGGAGCCATATAAGTACCTCTTAGAACACAATGATGCTGTGTTTGGGGACTATAAGACATGGCTGTATCCTGAGGTAGTGCAAACCACAATAACTTGCAGGAAAACATTCACAAATGGTATTCCTGAATTATAACAAAGGAATGGTTAGTTTTTATTAATCTTTGTCATTTTCAAGTCAAATGGGACAATCACTTCTCCAGTTTCCTTGATCGACTTACAGATTTTACAAACTGGTAACGAATCAAGTCACTTTTCTTCCTTGGTGACAGCATCTAGTTTAGTCCTGAGATCTTAGAATGCAGGACTTGATCCCGCAGGCTGCTGAGCATTGTTGAAAGTAGAGCAGAAGGCCCCATCTAGGAAAACTTGACTGGAGGTGTTCACCACCTCACAAGATCTGACTGGTAGCATGGGGTAATGTGTACAGTACTCATCAATGGGCGAAAATATTCTAGTCCCACACTGAAGTAAGCTCTGGTGTGTCGGGGAAAGTGGGTGTGAGGATGGCCAGCAGTCAGACATGGCCAGGGCAGTGAATACAAATAATGTGGATAGCAGGGCTTCTCAAACTTCATTGCAACATCACAACCCCTTTCTAACAACAAAAATTACTACATGACCCCAGGAGGGGGGAATGAAGCCTGAGCCTGCCCGAGCTCCACTGCCCTGGGCAGGGGGGCCAAAGCCAAAACCCAAGGGCTTCAGCCCCAGATGGGGGGCCTGTAACCTGAGCCCCACCACCCAGGGCTGAAGCTTTCAGGCTTTGGCCCCGGGCGGTGAGGCTCGGGCTTTGTCCCCAGGTGGTGGGGCTCGAGCTTCAGCCCTGGACCCCAGCAATTCTAACGCCAGCTCTGGCGATCCCATTAAAATGGGGTCACGACTCACTTTGGGGTCCTGACCCACAGTTTGACAACTGCTAGGATAGAGATCCTTAGGGTTTTCAATTCCTTTGACTGCCCTCCTACTTGGCAATAGGCATGACTGAATTTAAAAGAAACTGATTGTAGAGGCAGCTAGGAAGATGGTGCCAACCAGCATAACCTTAGGACAAAAATCATCAGTGATTTTCAGAGCCTACTGATCAGTGTGCATTGGTTTACTTGGTTGATTTACGTGCACTGGTTGCTCATAGTCTTGAGGAAATCTTGGCAAGAAAAAGAGCTAGAAACTTACTTTTAAAGAAAATAAACGCTGGAACTAGATCCCGGGTGTCGGAAGGGATAAGGGGGAGCCAGGCTTCGTGGGTCCAAAGTCCAGCTCTACATGAGAGCCAGACAGTGATGGAGAATAGCTTCCAAGGGTTCTGAGCAAACAACAAATCTCACAGCCAGCTCCGAAGGGCTTCATGAAGTGTGCTGGGTACAGTGTTCTTGCCTGCACATCAGTCCTTGGCTTAGTCACGGTACAGAAAGTGAAGTAACGAAGCACCATGCTCAAGAAGCCTCGTGGTAGCTCAGAGCTGTTCTCCCTGTCTTAAACCTTACCCACCCCTTGGAGGAACAAGCCCATGATGAATGGACATGGGAATTTTTGTTCAGGCTGATAATTGGTTATTCTATAATATTAATTTTAATCCTCAACTGTTCATTGATTGACGAATACTGGAAGTGGATTGTTCGTTTTCTTCATGACACTTATGCTGAAGAATGATTTTAGGAATATGTTAGTGTCTATTGATGGTCTGTTCCTCTCCCTATGTGTCTTTGAAGTACTTCCCTTAAGTGGCTGCTACTGGGGACAGCAGTATTGGGTTTCCGGGACTGATTTTTTGACCTGCATATGTTTAATAATCAATTTGTGAAAAAATTAAATTTATTTTAAAATGCCTAAACTAGAAGGAAAAATTAGGGGGGAAAATCAATCAACAAAGCTAAAAAATGGTAGAATGATGAAAGCCCTACTGAGGAAAAAGAGGTGAAGGAAATGACATCAATTTTACTACCATCCCTTCTGATTTCTTTCCAAATACTTCCACTTCTGTCTGTGTGCTGCAGTTGTACATGGAAATAAGTGTGGTGAGTCTCAGAGCACCTTGCCTGGATCATGGCAGACACTGAAACAGAAGCATTTGCAAGCATTAATAAAAGCCCTGCTGCTATTCAACTGGCTTCAACCTATGCAGATATAATAAGCAGATTTTTGACATGATACATTGTGTCCATCCATAATATGGAAGTATTAATAAGCAGATCTGTACCATAGAACATTGTTAGACTGCCTTTGGTTTGATCCATAATAGAGGCCTAACAAGGGTTGACATTAATACTGTTATATGCAAAGCTGGAGAGGACCCCAGGCACTTTCTCCTTTTACATGTTTAGTGCATTGTTGGATGCACTCTCCAGGAGTACATGGAGGCATTATATATATTAGGCACAATCACCCCAAGCCCCTGTAAGGGCTCGGTGGCTGCATGCCAACCCCCTTATTCAGCGCAGTCCATTATGGATCCAATGATGTTGCCAATGAAGTCCATGGGAGTTTTCCCACTTAACAGAATCAGGATCAAGCCCTGTGAAAGAACGTCAACATGCTTGTGCAGTTCCTTGCTTTCCAAGTATCAGTAATTCAGACAGTTTAATTTAAAATAAAAAAACGTATCACCAGCCTGACAGCTGCATATCTATTTCTTTATATATGTGCATTTAACGATTAACCATTTTTGTAAGAAACTGACAAAGAAAGTAAGATTAAAAATGTATTAATTTTATTACTGTCTTCTAAGAACTGACAAAACTGATTGTAATGAAATTTTGTATTTAAAAAACAATCAACAAACCACACACACAAATACACATGCACAGACCCCTTGCTGCTGGGGTGAACCCTTGCGTGCCAAGTTTCAGCCTGAAGCTAATTTTTACAGCCACATTATAAACCCCTGAAAAGAGGGTTTTATTGTGGAAATGTTGACAGAACCCTAGCGGTGCTACTGGCTGCCTCTCTAATTAGTCTGACAAACAGAATGGTATATTTTGCAATATGTGGTGTGTTCCATTGCCCTGATATTGCTGGTTTGTGCCAGAACTACAGGCTTAATTCGATATTTCATCCTCTGTCACTGTTTTGTAAAGACTATCTTTGACTCTTTTAAGCATCAATCTTCATTGCTCCTTTCAATTATATGAATTTTAAAAGATGCTGTTTGGATTTGTTTTGGTGACAGTGCAGGAGTTCCTGGGGTGCTCAGTCTACTTTGAAGAAAATATGAAGCCCATATGGGGTTTCTAACGTGTTTTCCAGAGACTAGTTTTAGCGTCTCTTTAAATTCCTTCAATAAAATACTGACTTGAACAGGAATAAGAGCGTTTGGTGGTAATGTTTACAGAGAAACACCCTGCCAGGGGACAAATGTAAATAAAAGAAAGGCACTAATCATTTTACTTGTGTTCTCCCTCCCTCACCACTTCCTGTCTGCCAGACCTTCCCCCAGTTGTTTGTATCTACCTATTCTGAGGGGTACATGTTTGTTACCCCTATTTCCTATTTATGCACAGTATGACCAAAATGGCAGAGGCCATTCTATCTGCCTCGTGTGCTGCAAGTTCTCACTGGGAGGGAGCAATGTTATCTCTGCATTTGTGAAGGTTCCATGCCTTTCGGCATCTTTCGCTCACATTTCATCTACATGTTTCTGTCTAGTGTCTTGCTTTAATTTCTCTTTGCTTAGCCGAAGCACTCTCCTTTTTTTTTACATAAAATAACCACATCCAGTGACATACTTATCCCAGGCATAACTTAGCCCCATTGACTTTAGTGTTACTGCTTATGAGAGACACATTAAGGGTTTTGCTGGACTGAAGCCTCAACTATTTGTTTTTTCCTGCTACCTATACCCATAGCCTCATGGAGGTGCTCTATATTTATGGGTGCTGTATAATTACAAAAGATTGTTGTTTGCTGCTATTATGATCTGCCCTGATCTGTGCATGGCGGGCAGAAATATATCAGAGCAATCCAGGGTTCTAGGCATACCATGACAGAGTCTCCCTGGCTCCACCCCAACGGAGCTGGAGCACAGAGCCCAGAGAAGCAGGAGTGATAGCAGGGGAGACTCCCAGTACTTACCCCAGCAGCCAGGGCGTAATTGCTTTGGTGGGAGAGTCAGGCCTGTTGCTCGCTTCTCTTCCTGCCACATGTAGAGTGGATCCTGGAGTTAACATCCTATAGAGAGGCATGTGACAGTTAGTAGCTCTTAGACCTACTGTTACAGGCTGTTTGCAGACTCAGGCAGACAACATTGCTGCCAGGAACACGCTGGTCACATTTTCAACATTTTCTTTGCAACCAAAAGGGGGCTAGAAACTTGCTTTTGTTTTTAAGTTGAAGTTGAGATTTTGGTGTTATCACACAACTCCAGGGCAAGGGCCTGGTAGTGTCCATGCCTTCATCTGGCTCTCATGGAGGGGACCCTCTGCACATAGATCACACCTTGCCTGCATAGAACAAATGTTCAGTTGCTTCTGCAGCAGAATCCTCCCTCCCCATGGAGTGCATGGAGAAGGAGGGAAGAGGTAATAGCAAAAATGGGTACACTGAAGATGGAGACAGGATGAAGGGATGTACTCAGCCCAATGAAATTAAGCATGGAAAGGTAATGCAGCTCCAGGCTCTATTATCTTTCTGTAATGGAGACCCACAGACTGCTGGAATCTGGACAACAGACTCCATCAGAGCAAGGCTGCTACAGAACAGAAATAAATCTAAGGGAACCTCAGAACTGGCTCATAAGAAGCGTGTCTCTACACAGATGGCCTCCTGCCAGGTGGCTGGATTCTGTACAGAGTCTGGGCAATCCACAGGGTTTGTGGTGAGCCTGATGCCTGTTCTGAAGGGCGGCACCTCCATCCCCTCCTGCCCCCAAATCTGCTGCATGGAATGATTAGGGATAAATTTCCACCAGGAGATCCTTGCAGACATATTCTCCAATTTAATTTTATCCCCTAGGTTTTATCCTGGGGGATGGAGATGATCACGGCTGTCATTTGGCCACATCTTCTATTCCTTGCTCAATTTTTACATCGTCTTTAGCAAATCTTCCATTGACTTCCATGGTAGTTTTGCCTGAGTAAAAACAGAAGGCCAAATTCTTCTGTCCACTCCCTGGAGTAACTTACTGCTTTCAGTTCTTGTCTCATTTACGCTGGTAAATCGAGAGTACATCCAATGATTGTAATAGAGTTAGTTCAAATTTACACGAGTGTAATGGAGAGCAACATTCGGCTCTGAGTAAGGATTGTTTGTTCTGGCCCAATATTAATAAAGCTTCAGTAACTGATTTGAGTATATTATAGGCTCTTAAAGTGCTTATAAAGCCATTAATAATTAAGGAATACATATATTTATAATGTCAACAGAAATTCTTAATTTGGCACATTAACATAAGTAAAATTAAGTAATTACTAGACTCTCTCTCTCTGTCTTTTAAAAAAACTATTTTGGATTGCACAGATTGTTCCTGGGACAGGCTTTGCATCCATAGGTGGCTTTTACTGCAATCTGCATTGTAATGTTTGGCTTTGGGAGAATAAATCAGATGACAATGAGAAATTACAATCTGTTCTTCCCTTTTTGGTCTCTGCTGTATACTCCCATCCCTTTTCAGGGAACACCTTTGCCTGGTACTTGATGGTACCTGCAATGGCTCCAGCAGTGAATTTAGTATGTCTGATGAAATTACATTAAAGCACAGTAGCAGATATCTTCCACAAAGTCTTGACAGTGCTAACCCTGACTGCACTGTTTTGTGCTTGTTCAGCAATGCAAGGTCTCAAATTCTTTTTTTTTTTGGTTTGTATTCTATTTTCTGCCTCCTATGCAGGAGGCAACCTCTCAGGAGTGACCTGATGGGCTGGCGCCCTGAGATTTGACTCAACCAATCTGACCCAACCAGCAGTACTTAGAATTAGATCGCAGTCTCTTGAGTGCATTAAGATCTACAACCTACAGCCCCATTAGTATGTTGAGCCACTAGACTGGCCCTGATTGAAATTACAGTTTTGATGATCTGACCTTCAAATCTATTAATAAAATAGAAAACTACCTACCCAGTTGTCCTTTTTGCTGCTGTGTAGCACAGTGGCACAGCTGCTAGGGAACACAATTTTTAACTTGCCTGCAGAGCACAGTACAAAAGCTGGTCACTAAAACTATTATATGGCCTGATTTTCATTTACTTGAGGGTCTTCACATGGCTCTTACACTGCCAGAGTGATGTCAAAGGGCCACAGCTATATGAGAAACAAACCCAAGCATTGCTTTACTGGGTGGTCAGTAGCACATTGATTGTTCACTCAAGTCAGCATGTTAATTTTCAACTACACCAAAAGTCACATTTCTTATGTCCACATTGTAACATGTTCTCTTGCAAAACACACTTAAATTATATAGACACACTGGATGCCTGACAAATACCACATTACTATGGTATTCTTTAGAGACTGGAGGTGGAAGGACTGACATTGGGAGTGGGTATGTGTTTCCAAAGGGTGAGGTAATTGTCACAAAGGAGAAGAACTGTTTTCTCTTTTATTTCAATCTGAGCTTTAGGAATATACTGCATGATCTCAGTGTTAAACACTTATGCAGCAGTTGTGTCCTGTGACACCTCAGATGGGAAAAACATCCTTTTATTTATAGAAAATAAATTATTCCTAAATCATGTGTACCATCAGTACCTGTCAAGTGGAAAGGTCAAATCTATACCTGGTGTAAGTAGGAGAAATGCCATTTAAATAATCAACAAAGTTACTTTACACCTGTTTATCTCAGGTCTGAATTTGGCTCTGCCTCTCAACAACCAGGAACAGGGTAACACCCAAGATAGCAGCTTTCAAGCAAACAGGCCACAAGATCCTTTTTCAAGTAGGAGAAGAAAAGAATCGTTTTTATGTTTAGTTTCTGCATGAAAAACAAACTAACAAAAGCACAATCCTGACAAACAAAAAATCCCCCCAACTCACACCAACAAAAATAAGTAAACATTGCCAAGTTATTAAGTTGCTTTCTGAAATCCAGGGTGAAACAGATAGACATGTACATAATAAGAACATAAGAATGGCCAAACTGGGTCAGACAAATGGTTAATCTAGCCTGGTATCCAGTCCTCTGACAGAGGTTGGTGCCAGATGCTTCAGGGGAAGTGAACAGAACAGGGCAATTTTGCATGGTCCATCCACTGTCGTCCTGTCCCAGCTTCTGGCAGTCAGTGGTTAAGGGACAGCCAGAGCATGGGGTTGTATCCCTGACCATTTTGGCTAATAACCATTTATGGACCTATCCTTCACGAACTTATCTCATTTGTTTTAACCCTCTTATACTTTTTGGCTTTCACAACATCCCATGGCAATCGGTTCCACAGATTAACTGTGCGCTGTGTGAAGAATGATTTCGTTTTGTTTTAAACCTGCTGCCTATTAATTTCATCGGGTGACCCCTAGTTCTTGTGTTATGTGAAGGGGAATAATACTCCCCTATTCACTGTCTGCACACCTTTCATGGTTTTATAGACTTCTATCATATCCCCCCTTAGTCACCTCTTTTCTAAGATGAAATGTCCCAGTCTTTTTAATCTCTTCTTGTACGGAACCTGTTCCGTACCCCTGAGCATTTTCATTGCCCTTCTCTGCACCTTTTCCAATTCTAATAGATCTTTGTGGAGATGGGGATGATCAGAACTGCACATAGTATTCAAAGTGTGGACATATCAAGGATTTATATAGTGGCATTGTGATATTTTCTGGTTTATTATCTATCCCTTTCCTAATGGCTCGTAGCATTCTGTTAGCTTTTTGGAGTGCCACTGCACATTGAATGGATGTGTTCAGAGAACTATCCACAATTGACTCCAAGATCTCTTTCTTGAGTGGCAACAGTTAATTTACACCCCATCCGTTTGTATGTATAGTTGGATTATTTTTCCCAATATGTATTACTTTGCATTTATCAACGTTGAATTTCATCTGCAATTTTGTCACTTTAATAAGATCCCCCTGTAACTCTTTGTAAGCAGCTTTGGACTTAACTATCTTCAGTAATTTTGTATCATCTGCAAAGTTTTGCCTCCTCACTGATCTCTCCCTTTTCCAGATCATTTATGAATATACTGAAAGGCTCAGGTACCAGTACAGATCCTTGGGGGAACCTGCTGTTTATCTCTCTCTATTGTGAAAACCGACCATTTATTCCTACCCTGCATTTCCTACCTTTTGACCAGTTACTGATTCATCAGAGGACCTTCCTTCTTATCCCTTGACTACTTAGTTTGCTTAAAAGCCTTTGGTGATGGATCTTGTCACAGGCTTTCTGAAAGACCAAGTCTAAATAAACTGAAATTATATTAAATGTTAATAATTCAGAAGGCTGATAAAATAAAGAGAAAATATATAGGTCCATGGAAAAGAGTTTGTGCTGTATTAAATAATCCAGTTCATAATTGGATCTTATTAATTAAACATTTTCATTATTAAAACCAAAATATATGGTTTTTCAAGAGACTTGGCAAGTGCCTTTACTGCATTGTAAAAAATTATTGAATCGTACTCTATAAATCTAATAGCTATCTAGATTTTGAAGGTGTGTTTGCACACACATGTGTATACACTTATCTGTATAATTTTGAGCAGCAAAGTTTTTCCCCAAATTACTGATGAGCAAACCTCAGAAACTACAGCAGTTCTGATTTTGTTCGGATAAGACTCTAGAGGTTGAAACTTAATGTATCCAAACGTCTTCGGTCTGGAAATCTCATAAGAACAGACTTTGTTGCAAGATTTCTAGTAATTCCTGAATTCAGTCATGTGGAAATGCGCAATAAGCAGGTTTCCCATGATATTTCTTCTTCCAGATGTTTAAACTAGTAATAAATAGCAATTACAATAATAAGCATCTTTAGCACCATATATTATCAAAGCACATTAAAAACCATCTACTAATTATTAACTAAGAAGTAAAGAGGTACCTGAAACATTTTAATATATCAACAAAATAGTTAACCAAACGCGTTTGAAACTTAATAATAAATCAGCTTCCATTAGATTAGTTTTGAACAAAGGTTCAGCTTGGCTTTATTTGATTCCAACTGATCACATGCACCCTCTGATAAAGAGTTGGCAGGCAAACCTTCTAGGTTTCTGATGTTTGCCTATTACACACTCTTCTTGGTG